TTGTGCACACCCGCACCTCCTCAGAGCGAATCTCGCTCTCTCTCTCTCTCTCTCTCTCTCTCTCTCTCTCTCTCTCTCTCTCTCTCTCTCTCTCTCTCTCTCTCTCCATTTGTTTAAGGTACATGTTTAACAATTTTTTATGTTTTTTGTCACCGGGACTTAAGTGCTTTTGCAACTTTGGATCTTCAACAAACTTATACCAATGAAGAAACCCTTATGCACAGATGGTCCGAGAAACATGACGTCATTTTGGAAATGCTTTCTCGAAAATGCCAAAACAGCCTGCCGTTGTTTTAACAACGGTCAAACCTCTAGTTTTTCTTGTTTTTTAGCTGTTTCAGCTACTGTTGCTTTTCTGATTATTTTTTCTCAGCTCTTGCTTTTCTTATTTTTTGGGCATTTTTGCAAGTTGCGAAAAAGGCATTCTTTTTTTTCTGTTTTTTGGGGAGGCTTTTCGCAGTTTTGCGAAAAAGGCATTACTCTTGTTCTGATTTTTGGCGTTTTCGAAAGTTGCGAAAAAGGCATTCTTTTTGTTCATTTTTTTTTTTCTTCCCCAAATCCCCTTCGTTTTGAACACGTTTCTTCCACCACCCACGTTTGTCTCTTAGCAACTTTGGATCTTCATCAAACTTAAATCATTGAAGGACCTTTGTTTAAAGATGTGCATAGAACAATGACGTCATGATGAAGTCATCAAGTAATTTATTATTGATTTTTCAATATTTATTTCAGCCCACTTACTTCGAACACGTTTTCATGACACTATTTTGGTACTTTGGCGATCTTCAACTGTAACCAAAGTTACAGCCGACAAAGAACCTGATGCAAAGAGACATCCAAATTTATGACGTCATGATGATGTCATCAAGTGATTTATTATTGATTTTTCAGCCCATTGACTTTGTACACGTTTACGAGGCACTATTTTCATACCTTAGTAAACGTAGATCGTCGTCAAACTTACAGCAAGCACTAACTGTAAAACAAAGATAATTCTGAAATATTTACGTATTTACGTTGCCTCCCGCAACATTCTGTTTGCAGCAAGTACCAGGATCTTGAGTTCATCTCGTGTAGGTCAAATAACGTGACCCTTACTTCCGGTTTTCAACAAAAGTGGGCTTATTGTTTAAAAGTGGTAATAGGTATTAAGTTTTTTTCAATAGAATTAGTCTGTCGGTGTTTGTGCTAGGTTGAAACCCTGCTTATATTTTGGAGAGGAAGTGCTTCAGGCAAATATTGAACTCATTTAATGATGACGTCATCAACAATTGCTATTTTCATAACGGACATTATCAACATTATCGAAATGTCAAATGTTATTAATTTTGCCTGGATTCTACTTTTTGGTTGATTAAAAAAGGGGTGTGACACCTGATGATCTGCGTGGGGACGTATTAAGTCCTGAACCCCAAACAGAGGGGTGATGAAGTCAATGACAACACCAGACCCTTAACTTGCAGATCCCACATGGCGTCGTTTGCCGATGAATGTCAGAGTACTTTCAAAGTGTATATCACACAGTACAACTTTCAGTCACAGTTATCAAAAGTGAAATTCATTTTCGCGCCAAAATGTTCAGGATAGTGCAACAGATGTCATCTATAGTGGTCCTGTTTGTTTTTTAGAATGACAATGCAAATTTATGATTATTCAAATAAGGCTGGGTTTGCAGACTGATGTGAATGGAGATAACACTCTTCAAGGCACTGTATCTCCTGAAGTACGTAACCAATCAGGTTCAAATCTTGCAGATATCTTGAGAAGGGGGTGCTTTAGAGGAATATTGACCTCATGTGATGGTGACGTCGTCAGGAGACAAGTCACGTGACATTGAATGTGCACACTTTAAGCCATTATATCTCCTGAAGTAGCTGTCCGATCGGGTTCTAATCTTGCATATATCTTGAAAAGGGAATGTTCTAGAGGAATATTGACCTTATTTGATGATGACATCATCAGGAGACAAGTCACATGACACTAAATGTGCAATATTTAAAGCCCTGTATCTCCCGAAGTAGATATCCGATTGCGTTCAAATCCTGCAGATATCTTGAAAAGGGAGTGCTTTAGAGGATTTTTGACCTAATGTGATGATGACGTCATCAAGAAACAGTCACGTGAAATAAAGGTGCACTGTTTAAAGCCCAATATCTCCTGAAGTACATGTTCTATCAGGTTGAAACTTGGCAGATAACTTAAAAGAGGAGTGTTATATACGGAAAATGACTTGATGTGATGATGCCGTAGTTGTTCAAATGTAAAAAGAATGCGAAAAAAACCTCTGTTCTGTTGGTAAACAGACAGATGAGCTCTAGTTTCTTCCTTCTTCCTCCTTTAAAAAAAAGTCCATTTGTTTTGTGCACGTTTTTTTCAACCCACAACTTTGGTGTGTTAGCATCTTTTGATCTTCATCAAACTTATGTCAATAAACAACCCTTATGCATAGATGGTCCTAGACCAATGACGTCATAATGACGTTATCAAGTGATTCATTAATGATTTTTCAATATTTATTTCAGCCCATTGACTTTGTACACATTTTTGAGACATCATTATGGTTACTCGATCGTCATCAAAGTCATACCAAGGAAGAAACTTGAAACAAAGATAATACTAAAATAATGATGTCAAGATGACGTCATCAAGTGATTTATTATTGATTTTTCAATATTTATTTCAGCCCCATTGACTTTGTACACATTTTGAAACCAATTACCTTTGTAAATACATACAAGTGTTGCCTAAGCGTTTGCATGCGCATGTCTGTTGCGCTAACAGCTGATCTGCGCGATCGGTCGATGTAAGCATTGTCGCGCAGTCTTAATGCATGGTTTGGATGGAAAGTTGTGAAGAAATCCTGCAAAATATTGATAAAAATGAAATCTGAGATTTCGTGTCATCAGGCCTCAACCGATTGTTTAAAGTAGTACTCAACACCAATCGTTCATGCATGTATCAACTATTTCCGCGGTACTACACGTCAACACATGGATTCGATCGGGACGATGTTTTCGACGAGCGCATGTGTTTTCTTAGGACCTCTTCATGCTCTTGGGACCTCCCGGACCAGAAATTGCACCAGCTGAGTTCTTAATGGACTTTGCTTGATCAGAGGATTCCAAAGTAATCCCACGAAAGCTGAACTGGAACCAAATTCATGAAACGCGGTGCTAGAAATTGCACAAGGAGTTGACACCGATTGGGCATGATAACTCGTGGGCATGGGTTCATCTAGCCCATGCCATGCATGCCGAGCCTAACAAGCAGACATACGTGCGGCGCTGCAGCGAGCTGGGTTTGGAAGCTGGCCTTGGACGAAGTGCTGGAACCGGTAGGCAAAACATTCTTAATTGCAAGTTTTTGGCTGCACTTTCTGTGCTCTGTAGCTCTGGACAGTGATGTTAAGGGAAAGAGAATTGACCCAAATTAGCTCTGAATTTGCACTGACATAACTTGAACTCTAAAAAGGGCCTGTTTTAACATTTCGATATGATCACCCCAATCATGGCAAGGTGATTAACAGTGATTGTGTACGTCATATGTGTTCAGCACAATCCAGACATCAACTTCCACATATTCATTAACCCCCTCCCAAGTACATTATTCAACCATTTTAGTAAGATGTATTTTATTCAAAAGCAAATCTAATCCGGATGGAGCACAATACATACTTGTACATTTTCAGACATTTCACAGGGGTGCTGAACATAGGCATGGAACTGACTAAAGTCCCTCAAAACACTGACGGTGCATTCTGTATTTCATTTCTATGCCCCCCTCCCCCGAAGACAAACCCATGTCATTACGGGTTCATGGTAAATATCCAAACATGTATGAAATTTGGATGTAGACCTGTAATTCTTTTTGCAAGCTGTTTATATAGAAAAATTGAATTTCCTTATTTGCTTTGTGTGTATAGGTATCCTTCATACTACTTCTGGAATGAAAGCTGGAGAATGGAGATAAATCTGTTCTCCGTGTTATTTCTGAACATTGGAATTCAACATAACTGCAGTTACATGTAGATATCAGAGGCACAAGTACCAAAAATAAAGGAAGCTGCATGCAATAAAGCGTGGAAATTAACAGGTGATGGTGAAAAGGCCCACTGTTGCTTTGACATAAAGACAGATTGCCAGTCATGAATCAGTTTGTGGGGGGGGGAACATCCATGTACCATCATGCCCGGTCCCCCACTTTAACATTTGGGTCCCCACATACTCCCCAGAACCCAAGGTTACTATACCAATGAATGCATACATGTGCACATGTACGTCGTATTATTTTTAAGTTCTCACACAAGTTTTCCCATGCATCAACAAAAGAAACAGAAACTGCTGCGCCTGTAATATTTAAATGTTTCCTTTTGCAATGATACAGATGTTCATCAGCACAGTCATGAGGGTGGTCTTCACACAAGTCCCTGGTATCGTTGATATGAAGTGCAGTTGAAGCAGGATGGATCCTGAGAAGGGTGGGAACAGCTTCTTTAAAATACCCGTAGCTAGACTGCAACCAACAGGAAGTGAGATTTACTTGTATATGTACATGTAATCGCTATAATTTATTGAAAGACAATGGCAGAAATAGTTCAAACTGGTTTCGGAAGAATAGTGCAAAGTTATCAGCAAAAAGATCCTGATATTTTCAAGCGGTCCCCATGTCATTTGAAGTCTCTGCAGATCTTCAGAACAGAAAGAAGTTGGCAGGTTTAATTTGATACACTTCAGAAAAATGCCTTAAAACATGAAGGCACTGTGTTTCCTTCATATTTTCAAAACACCCAATGTGCATATTTCTTGTTATTCCCTCAAGACAAACCATTTTGTTATGAGTTCACTGTGTTTGATTATCTACGTTTTGATATCAGCTGAATATTTCAAGACATCCTTTATGCTGCTGCTGAAGTGAAAGCTACAGATGATAGTTCTGCATGTTTGGAATTCAACATCACTGCAGTTACATGTAGATCAGATGCATGGCTACCCTTGATAAAGGAAGGTGCTGTACAGCAAAGCAAGGAAATTATAAGGTAATGGTAAAAAGGCTTACTGTTGCACTGACATACAGATTGCCAGTTTTGATGACTGCAGTCATGAAGCAAAGTTTGTGAGTTTGTTTTTGCATTCAGTTGGGAAACCTAATAAGTCCCTGATTCATAGAGCATCCCAGATTGACAATTATGTACAAAATATATGGTTCGTCTTCTAAAAAAGTTTAAGTACAAACAAAGGAGGAACAATATGGGGGCTCCCCATTATACACACCTGTGTGGGTGTGTGGGGGTATCCATGTACCGCCATCATGAATGTTTCCCTCATCAGTACCCACTTGCCTGGTCACCCACTTTAACGTTCTGGTCCCAACATACATGTACTCTCCATTCAGTGAAAACTGAAGGTTGCTATATGCCAGTGATTTGTATTTGTGTTCAAGTTTTGACATTAGTTTTTCCATGCATCAACACATGAACCTGTAATAAATGTTTTCCATTTTGTCACTGTGAGG